GGCCGGTGACCACAACCTCTACACCAGCGACAACAGCGAGCAGGTCTTTGGCGTGAGCAAGATCGTCGTCCATCCCTACTGGAACAGGAACAACGTCGCCGGGGGGTAACGCGCATGGGGAAAGGGATTTGGGGGGAGCATCGCTGGGAATGGGGGGGTTCCTTACAACGTCCTCTTCCTCCTCTTGCCAGCTATGACATCGCCTTGATCCGCCTGTCCGCCTCTGCCACCCTGAACAGCTACGTGCAGCTGGCGGTCCTGCCCAATGAGGGATCCGTCCTGTCCAACAACTACCCCTGCTACATCACGGGCTGGGGTCGTACCCGCAGTGAGTGCCGATGGGTCGCCCCGGCCCCAAATCACCCCAAAACCATGGGAAATGTGGGGAGCTGAATGCTATTTTTAAGCCCTTTGAGGTCCCAGGAGGCATCACGCAGGGCTTTGTTCAAGGCGTGGAGTCACCTAACGTTGGGTGGGATGATGCCAAGGTTTGGAGGGGATTTTATGCGGGAAAAGGGGCTCGGTGGTGGCTGTGGGCTCCGCTTTGGCACACGGAGGGGTTGCCAAAGTCTCGCAGGTCTTTGCCGGCGCAGCGTTAACCGGCGCTCGGTTGCGTGCAGCCAACGGGCAGCTCTCCAGCGTCCTGCTGCAGGCGTACCTGCCCGTGGTGGATCACCAGGTCTGCTCCACCTCAACCTACTGGGGCTCCACCGTCAAGACCACCATGGTCTGCGCCGGCGGTGACGGCATACATTCTGGCTGCCAGGTACAACCCCGGCATCCCGCTTTCGGCTCCAGCATCCCCATTCCTCCCATCTCATAGGGCTTCCTCGGTCTGGCAGGGTGATTCGGGTGGTCCCCTCCACTGCGCGGTGAACGGGCAGTACCAGGTCCACGGCGTCACCAGCTTCGTATCCGGTCTGGGTTGCAACGTCAAGTACAAACCCACCGTCTTCACCCGCGTCTCTGCCTACAGATCCTGGATAGCGAACGTAAGGCGATGGCGGAGCTCGGGCAGCCGAGACCTGGCGCTGTCGTTGCACCGATGCTCCGGCTCTGTCCCTGCTCAGCTCAACCGTTGCCTTTCTTCTCCTCCCAGGCGATGGCCCAGAACTGAGCAGCGGCAGGAGAAAAGTCCGGTCCCCGGCTCGGGCGATGGCCGTCACCTTCCCCCACGTGTCGATCGGAGGGGTGTAAAACCCGTAGCCGGTGTCAATAAAATCTGTTCCTCTCTCTGGCACGCTTTGCCCCGCAGCCCGGCAATCCTTTCTCCTCCAGCCCTCAGCGTCCTTTTCCCATCCTGTCTTCCCAAGCATCCCTTCGGCCGTGTAGCCCTCCTCTTCCTCACATCCTTAGGAAAGAGCCACGGGGAAAAACCAACCGGCTCCGTGCTTTCAGGGCAGCCAGAAAATCCTTGGGATAATGGGGAAAATGCTGCAAATTCCCTTCACGGGCAGCGCCGCAGCTCCTTGGGGGTGCAGAAGGATACGGGGGGTGGTGGGGGGAATCCGGTCGGGATTTTTCCCGGCCTTTAGCTCCATTTCTTTTCCAAAACGGACCTCCTTTGCAGTGAGAGATGTCGGATT